CACTATCCCTACCTCCCCCAATCTTTGTGTCATCCGTAAGCTTATTAATCAGGCCACCCACATTTTCCTCCAAATTTTGGTATATATATTACAAACAACAGGGACCCCAGCACTGATTCCCGCAGAACACCACTAGTCACGGATCTCCAGTTAGAAAAACACCCAGGCTAAATTGTCCATAGTATCCAGTGACATGCAGGTGGATTAGCCTTGGGAAATGTAGAGTTAGGGGTAGGGGATGGGTTTGGATGCGATGCTTTTTGGAGGATTGGACTCAATGGGCTGAAATGCCTACTTCTATGATTCTAAGTAACATAGATTGGGAACTAATCAGTGACTGAGAGACTGAACAATTAGTGTTGCATCTGCCCTGTGTCTTCAGTGAAGAACCGAAAGGACTCCGAATGATGACAATCAGATTGTTGTTTGTGTATGTTTGCATGTGAGAGAGAGAGGGCGAACGAGAGCAAACAAGTGAGAAAACAACAGCAAGAACTGGTTTAAAATTGAGGGCTACCGTAAGATGAAGGATATCCAAACTGCAACAGGTTACAACATTTCCCTACTAGAGTTATAAGTTAATAATTCATATTTTCTTTGCCTGTGGTTAGGAGTACTAATAAGTACTAATTTCTTGTTAACTAAAGAAACCTGCCCAGTGATTTCTGTTAACCTGTGTTCATCAGACAAGAAAATTAGGGACTTGAGTCATTTGATTAAATCTTCAACTTTAGTTATGACTGTGGGAGTAGTGAGACTCGAGTATCTGTGCATTCTCTCAAGTGGTTTGTGACAGACCCTACATCCAAATTGTTGATGTGCATTACCAACAATTTAAGCCCAAATGATGTTACTCAGGTATAAGATTTTTACCAAAAAACGATGGTCTGTTCTTACTGTTTTCTTGTTGGCTAATCCTGGTCCATGCTAGCGCATTACTTCCTCTCCAATGTGATTCAATTTTGTGAATCAACCTCTTGCAAAGAACCTCATCCAACTTTACAACACCCACTTCCTTTTTAGAGTTATAGAGTCATACAGCATGGAAACAGACCCTTCAGTCCGACCTGTCCATACCAACCAGATATTCTGAATTAATCTTGTCCCATTTGCCAGCATCTGGCTGATATTCCTCAAGACCCTTCCTATTCTTATACCCATCCAGATTCCTTTTAATTTTTGTTTTGATTCATTCAAGGGATGAAAATGTCACTGGCTAGGCCGGCATTTATTGCCCATCTTGTCTAGTTGAGAGTCAACCACATTACTGTGGGTCTGGGGTCAGACGTAGGCCAGACTAGGTAAGGATGGCAGTGCTTTCTGTAAAGCACATTAGTGAACCAGATGGTTTTTCTGACAATCGACAATGGATTCATGGTCATCATTCTACCCTTAATTCCAGATTTTTTTATTTAGTGAATTCAAACTCCACCATCTGCCGTGGCGGGATTCGAACCCGGGTCAACATTATCTTGGTGTCTGGATTAACAGTCCAGCAACAATATCACTAGGCTATCGACTCCCCATTAAATGTTGTTATTGTATCCTCCTCCACCACTTCCTCTGGCAACTCATTCCATACACCCTCTGCGTGAGAAAATTGCCCCTTAGATCCCTTTTATATCTTTCCCCTCTCACTTTAAACCTATGTCCTCTAGTTTTGGACTTCCTTACCCAGGGGAAAAGACCTTGACTATTCACCCTATCCATGTCCCTCATGATTTTATAAACGTCTATAAGGTCTTTTTATCAATTCTCTTAGTAATGCGGTCAAAACATTACAACAGGTTCAACAAATGATTTCCCCATTGCAAATGCATGTGTATTATGCCGAACCAAATAATTATCATCCAAGTGTGTCACATTTGTCACGTTTGTTATCCAGTTCAGGAATCACTTATCCAAAAACCTTGAGGCCAACTGTTTTCAGATAAAGGATATTTAAATTTTTCAGATATATTTTCATAATGGGTCTGTTCAGGCCTTTGGGAAAAATATATTTTGCTTGGCCCTAACAGATGTAAATAAACCGAAAATTTAAGTTCTTTTTCTCCAGAGGGCCCTATTTCAGGATGTCTTTGGATACACATGCTAAGTTCAGGCCCACTTTCAAAAGGTCCTTCAGCCTTTAGGTCTTTTTGATTTTCGGAAGTGCGAATAATGGATTCCTGATTTATAATAGATTGCAGCATTTCCCTACTACTCATCTAAGGCTAATAGGTCTGTAGTATTCTCTCCTTCTCTTACTAAATAATGGAGTGGAGTGAAATTGGGTATTTGCCAAATCAGCAGGATTTTGGAAGATCATCAGTGGAAGATTATCATCAATGCATCCACCATTTCCACAGCTGCCTTTTTTTAATATTCTGGGAGGTAGGATATCAGGTCGCAGTGGCTTATCAGCCTTCAGTCTCATTCAATACCCCAACAACACTTTTTTTCACATTCTAAATTTCCTTCAATTGCTCATTCACTCGTGCCTTGCATCTTCTGGGAGAACTCTTGTATCTTCTTTAGTGAAGATAAATACAAAGTAATCACTTAGCGTCTCTGACAGGTCTCTATTCCCTTGTTCCTCCTGACTGCCTGTAATGGATCCACATCTTCCTTAGCCAAATGTTTCCTTTTCACCTATGTAGAGGGACTTTTACAGTCTGATAGTCTGATTTTGTGTGTTTTGCTTATTTACATTGAAACTATATTGCATTTAACATTTTCTTGGATTAACAGTCTAGCAGTAATACCACTAGGCTATTGTCAATCCTTAATTTTACATTATTTCCAGCAACTTCATAGGCTTTTTCTTTTATTCATAAACAATCCTCAACTTCATTTTATAGCCAGTTCTGAGTTGTTTTGGGATTATTTTTTCTCGTTGAAGATATATATAGCTGCTGTAAACTTTGCCATAATTACTTAAAGGCCATCTATTGTCTATGTATCGTCATACCTTTTAATATATTTTTCTAATCCAACTTAGCCAATTTGCCTGCCACACCTTCATAATTTCCTTTGTTCAAATTTAACATGCTGGATTCAGATTGAACTGCCTTATTTTCAAACGATGTGAAATTCTACCATATTATGGTCACTCATCCCTTACTTATTTTACATGATTATTAATTGTCCCTTTTTTGTTACATAATAATACATGTAAGATAGCCTTTCCCCTGGTTGGTTCATCAACATAACACTTAAGAAAACCATCCCTAACATTTTAGAAATCATCCTCTGCAGCATTAGCACTCACTGGGTTTACCCATGCTGTATGTAGGATGAAGTCATCCATGATTACTGTATTATCCATGCTACATATTTCTCTAATCTCCTGATTTATACCATGCTCCAAACTATGACACTGTTTTATGTCCTATAAACAATTCCTACCAATGTCTGCTGCCCTTTGTTGTCCAATGCCTTCTTTCCTTTCTGTTTCATAACTCCACCTCAACAGATCCCACATTTTGCTCAAGGGTGTGTGTTTTTTTTTAAATTCATTGCTAACTCCTGAAAATGTGCGTCAGGACCTAATTTGTTTTCCAATTTGGATCTTTGCTTTCAACATGGACCACTTTCCCTTTAAAATAATGTCATGCAGCTGCCGTGAGATATCCTTGAACTGCAGTCATGTTAATTGCTGTAGAAACACCTTTCTGAATCCTTAACTATGGAACCACTTATCACTATTGCTCTTTCACTCTTCTTCCTCCCCTCTTGTACAGATGAATAATCTGTTGTGCCATAGACTTGGCTCTGGCTGCAATCCCAAGGAACTACCGTATCCAAAATAGAAAACTGAGTAGCATGAACATCTGCATGCTTCTCTTCAATTGTCTGGTGCTCACCTATTCCCTCTGTCAATAAACCCGTAAGCTGGGGGGGTGACCATGTCTGTAAACATGCTATCCACTTAGTTCTCTACCTCACTCAACAGTAACTGCAGCCACTGCTCCAGTTTTGAAATGTGGAACTCAATCTTGTGCAGCTAGCATCACTTCCAGTAGTGGAGTCGGTCTAGTACACAGGGTACGTCGATGACTTCCCACAATTTAAAAACTATTTATTGCCATTAGGCTAGGCAGAATAACTTAACAGTTACTCAACAACCAGCTTCTCTCCCTGTATCAAAAGTAAGAGACAATCACTGGAGGTTGAGAAAGGTAGAAAAAAAAAGCACCTTCTTCCCCCTCCTCACTCAACTCCCTCTCCTACACAAAAACCCCGTGCACCTAAATTAGCCATCAGCGCAGAAGAAACAACATTTTGGGAGATCTCCTTTAACTATTTTTAATTAACCAGCTTGGAAATATTATGACACACTTCCAGGGCAAGGAGTGCATGAACACAGACCTTCTATCCCATAGGCAGGGACCCTACCACTATGCCACAAGACCCTCAAGAATTTTTCTCAAATCAAAGCCAGTGATAACTGAATTCAAACTTCTGAAAGTCAGGTCAATGAGTCTTCGTTACCTACCTGGTGATGTTCTCATAGAGCTTGTATACTATGGTTTGAAGACTGGGAGAAAATGTCTCTTGACGTAAACAGGATTGTTGCAACACGTGGACTGCAATGTTCAAGGTGTCTCACCAAAACCTTTCTCCCAAGCAACTAGGATAGGGCAATAAATACTGCCCTTGCCAGTGATTCCCACATTTCATGAGTTAACAACTGATCCAGACTCAAGAGCTTTGTCCATGGAGACAAGGAAGTGCAAGTGACAGTCAGCCTTGTTCCCCCATAGGGAAATAGGCTTCACATATATTTCCATTAAAGGTAAATATTTTGCAAGGATAGATGCAATCTGCAACTTAACCCCTTGGTTATGGAAAGATACAGGGAGGAAAAATAAAGTTAAATTATATTTAAAACGATGAGGAGAGACACTAGATGTTCAGATGGATGAATCCGAAAACTCTAATGCAATTGTGTTGACTAGCATTTTTGTTTCACTCAGGGACTAAGAATAACACACACAAAAAGGAATGCTCCAACTCACAAGCGTTGTATCCTGGAGACGATGGTTGTGAAGGCTGCTTGTACATCTGCCGAAGAACACGTGCACACAATGGGGAGATTGTGTTTCTGTAGTAACTCCGATACGTACTGTAAGGCAGTAAAGTATTACTAAACAACACAGCCTATTCACTGATCCAGTCTCTAAATCACAGTTTTAAGTTTAATTAGCAAGTTCAACTAAGATGGAGACTTTGGAAACAGGCTTAATGAAAGCAAAACATGAAGTGCAGAAGAAAAACATCAGAAGCAATCACCTAGAGCATCTTATCCACATCCATTAGTGACAGAGAATTGGGAGCGGCAAATTCTGCATTTTCGTTATAATGTTTTGACCCAATTTTATTGTCCACCTCTAATTACAAAGGGTATTAAGCATGGGACTGGGGTAACTTGTTGGCCAAACCGGATAGAGATTCAAACCTAAAACAGAGAACTTTTTGTCATGTAACAGTGAACATCAGTGCTTATACAACAATGCAGCAGCTTTCTTGATTACTTCTTTCCGTGCCAGCTCACAAATAACCACATTTATCAAACAAATTAAAGAAAAACAAGCTGGGAAATTCATTCCTGACTATTACCAACTAATCCTTCATTGAAATCAGCAAGTGTGAATTTGACTGTCAGCCATGACATGGTTCACAGTTAGATTCTCAGCTGTTACTTACGATCGCAGTGTATGACTGAAGAGGGTCTTGCACTAGTTGTCAAAGAGCAATCTTTGAAGTGAAAGAAATTAATTGTTCAGGAGAGAAAGATGGAGGAAAGACTTATGTCACCATCATAAACCAGTGTGGAAGCAAAGAAGTAGCACTACTTATTTGTCTTGATGGGCTGGATTTGCTAATGTCAAATCAGACATGTCACCTAATAACTGAAAAGTCATCCAAGTGGGAATACGTTAGCCTTTTTATTCCATCTAAAGGTAGAAAGACTTGCACTTATGCTGTCTTTGATCCTCAGGATATCCCAAAATGGTTTACGAATGAGGTACTTTTGAACTGTTGTGATTATTACAAAGCAGGAAACCCAGCTGCTAATTTATGCCCAGCTAGCAACCAGCAGTGAAGCAAATTAGCTGACAGATAACTCCTGTCCAAAAAAAACATGGAGAGAATGCCTCCGCTTTTCTGCAAGGAGTGTTGTGGGACCTTTTATGTCAATATTAAAGGGAAAATGTCTCCTTCAAAAGAAGGTACACCTCTGACAATGCAGCACTCCCTCAGTACAAAAATGATTGCACTTCAGAGTAGTAATGTGGGAAACATCAGTAGAAACATGATACACAAGTTGGTGCTTACCTGACCCTGCCAGTCTGATGTATTGATAAGAATTATGTTTTCTGGTAACTGCTCATCTGAAATCAGGATGTGATTCAATTGGTCATAGACAGTTTTCCGAGGGATCTGCAGTAATAAACAGAATGCAGGCCAAATCAAGTAAAATAAGTTGATCACTCTGGCACAGAACTCAACTTTGATGCTCCAAATCTCAAATTATTGAACATACCCAGAAAACGCATGTTTTAGGTTTCAACATTTCTTGAATATTGGAAGAGCCATTCAGCTCTTACAGTCTGTCCTAAGTGTCAGAGGGACCATGGCTCATCTATTATGACTACTATCCAATCACCTTGGCTCTACATCCCTTTACACCCTCCTTCAATTAGCAATAATCTATCATTTTGCATTGAGCTATCACTTTCTACATTTTGGAGGGCAGAGTTCCACATGACTACTACCACCCTTAACCTATTTTCTAACATACTTCCTGAATGAATTAGTCTAATTTCTATGCCAATGTCTCAGATTCCCATAAATGCATTTGTTTAAAAATCTCAAACTTCAAATGCCCTGTAAACATCTACATACCAGGGAATGAGAGAGAGGTCCCCAAGACCATATGAAATAGCAACAGGAGTAGGCCATTTGGCCCCTTGAGCCTAGTGCGCCATTCAATAAGATCACGGCCAATCAGAGATCCTTCACATCCACTTTCCTACCCTTTCCTCATAAACCTCAATTCCCCTACTGATCAAAAGTCTATCTATAATCTAGCTTAACCCTTGAAGGCCTGAAAACAATCTGCTGAATCTGCACAGCTTTCCTTCCGAGGTTAATATGAGCTTTTGGAGGTGTGGTTAACTCAAAGTGGTCAAACAAAGGCTTTGTGCAGTCATTGTCAAAACCTCTTCCCCTGGATATTCTAGACCAACATTCCTATGCTTTATAATGATATGTGTAGCCGTGACATTATTTTAGCAATTTGGCTACCGCATTTTAGTGATGAATATTCTGTTTTCCTAATTTTTTTCATCATTTAAATAATACACGTCTAATTTTAATTGCTCCAAAATTGATTATGTTAGATAGAAATCCATCTGCCACATTTATTACAAATTACTAACTCCACCAACATCGCTGAATAGTTTTGTTTTGTTGACATGACTTGCATCAATCTTTGTATCATCAGCACACTCAAGTAACACCATAGAAAGCCAAATAACTTATAGTGCATACTTGAAGCCTCAGAACAGGTCCTCCTGGGACTCACCAGCCACTTTCTGTCAAATTTTAATAGATACCCATTATTCCAAATCTGCCTTTCACTGTTTGAACTTAAATAAGCCAGAAGCCTATCTTCAAGTCTACAAGCTTTAATTTCAGCTAACAGTTCCTTACGTGCAGCCTGACAATATCTTTTGGAAGCCCATATAAATTACATTTTCAAGCCTGCAAATGACACAAAGCTGGGTAGAAGAGTGAACGGAGAGGAGGATGCAAGATGTTTCAGTGTAATTTGGACAAATTGAGTGAGTGGGCAAATGCTTGGCAGATGAAGTATTATGTGGATAAATGTGAGGATATCCACTTTGGTAGCAAAAACAGGGAGGCAAATTGTCACCTGAATGGTATTGGACTGAAAGGGGAGGGGCAAGAGACCTGGGTGTCCTCATACACCAGTCACTGACAGTAAGCATGCAGGTGCAGCAGGTGTCAAATTCTATGCTGTTCTTCATAGCAATAGGATTTCAGTACAGGATTGTCTTGCTGCAATTGTACAGGAAGTTTGTGACAGCATATCAACAATATTGTGCGCACTTTTGGTCTCCTCACCCCAGGATGGATGTTTTGGCTATGAAGGGAGTGCAAGAAAAGTCCTCCAAACTGATTCCTGGGATGGGAGGATTGATGTACGAAGAGAGAATGGATCTATATTCACTGGAGATTAGAAGACTGAGGGAAATAAGTAGAAGAATAAAAATTCTGACAGGTCTAGCCAGGATAAACGCAGGTAGGATGTTCCCAATGACTGGGGAGTCCAGGGTCACAGTCAGTGTTCCCTCTAATTTTCTTACCAGTTAACCAGGAGTCTGAGGTGCCAACGTCAACCAACGTGCAAGGAACATCAGAGAGGTGGCTCAACTTAGAGGGGACATTGATGACAGTCTAAGGATACATGATAGTCCATTTAAGATTATGGTGAAAAGAAATTTCTTCACCCAGAGAACAGTGAGTCTGTGGAATTCCTTTCTCAGAAAAAAGTTGAAACCAAAATAGTGTTCTCAAAAAGGAGTTAGATATGGTTCTTAGGTGTGAACAAATCAAAGGATATTCTGAGAAAGCCAGAGTAGGGTATTCAGTTTTTTTTAAATCCACTTGAGGGATGTGGACATTGCTTGCTGGTCAGCATTTATTGCCTGTCTCTAGTTGCCCTTGGGAAGGTGATGGTCAGCAGCCTTCTTGAACTCGTACAGTTCACATGCTGTGGGTTGACCCACAATGTTCTCAGGGAGGGAATTCCAGGATATTGACCGAGTGACAATGAAGGAATGGTGAAATATTTCCAAGTCAGGATGGTGAGTGGCTTGGAGGGAAACTTGCAGGCAGTGGTGTTCCCATGTATCTGCTGTTGTTGTTGGAGCTGCACCCATTCAGGCAAATGGGAAGCATTCCAACTCACACCTAACTTGCGCATTGTAGATGGATGACAGGTTTTGGGAAGTCAAGAGGTGAGTTACTCACTGTAGTATTCCTAGCTTCCGATCTGCTCTTGTAGCCAAGTTTCTGGTCAATGGAAGTCTCTGGATGTTGATAGTGTGGGATGTCAAGGGGCGGTGGTTAGATTGTCTCTTATTGGAGTTGGTCATTGCCTGGCAATTGTGTAGAATGAATGTTACTTGCCATTTATTGGCGAAAGCCTGGATATTGTCCAGGTCTTGTTGCATTTGAACATGAACTGCTTCAGTATCTGAGGAGTTGCGAATTGTGCTGAACATCATTAGTGAACATCCCACTTCTGACCTTATGACGGAGGGAAGGTCATTGATGAAGCCACTGAAGATGCTTGGGCCTAGGACACTAACTCCAACAACCACAACCATCTTTGTGTGCCAGGTATGACTCCAACCAGCAGAGAGTTTACCCCTGTTCCTGTTTTGCTAGGATAGCTTGTTATGGCCAGACTCGGCCAAAAATGGCCTTGATATCAAGGGCGCTGATTCTCAACTCACCCCTGGAATTCAGCTCGTTTGTCCATGTTTGAACAAAGACTGTAATCAGGTCAGGAGCCAAGTGGCCCTGGCGGACCCCAAACTGGAAGTCACTGAGCAGATACTGCTTGATAGCACTGTTGATTATACCTTCCATCACTGTACTGATGATTGAGAATAGATTGATCGATCAGTAATTAGCTGGGTTGGATTTGTCCTATGTTTTATGTACAGGACATACCTTGACAACTTTCAACCTTGTCAGATAGAGGTCAGTATCTTAGCTGTAGTGGTGCAGTTTGGCTCGGGGTGCAGCAAGTTCTGGAAAACAAGTCTATTGCCTGAATGTTGTCAGGGTCGACAGCCTTTAGTGTATCCAGTGCTTTCAATTGCTCCTTGCTATCAGGTGAAGTGAACTGAATTAACTGAAGACTGACATCTGTGATGCTGAGGACCAGTGGTAGAGGCCAAGGAGGATCATCCTCTCAGCACTTTGGGCTGAAGATTGATGTGAATGCTTCTGTCTTAGATGTACTGATACTTTGGGCTCTTCCATCATTGAGGATGAAGATATTTGTGCAGCCACCTCCTTTAGCGAGTTAATTGTGCACCATCATTCACCTCTAGATGTGACATGGCAGCACAGTGGCTCAGTGGTTAGCACTGCTGCCTCAGAGCACCAGGGACTTGGGTTCGGTTCCACTGCCAGGTGACTGTGGGGATTTCCTCTGGGTGCTTTGGTTTCCTCCCACAATCCAAAGGTATTTAGGTTAGGTGGATTGGCTGTGCTCAATCGTCCATAGTGTCCTGCGATGTGCAGGCTAGATAGCTCGGTTATGGGAAATGCAGGGATATGGAGATGGGGTGGGGTCTAGGTGGGATGCTTTTTGGAAAGTTGGTGTGGACTCGATGGACAAAATGGCCTGCTTCCGCACTGCAGGAACTGTACGACTGCAGAGCTCAGATCTGATCTGTTGATTGTGGGGTCACCTTGCTCTATCAGTTGCTGCTTATGCTGTTTGGCATGCAAGCAGTACCATTTTACCTTCACCAGGTTAACACATCAGTTTTAGGTCTGCCTGATGCTGCTCCTGATATGCCCTCCTGCACGCTGCATTGAACCAGGGTTGATCCCCTGGCTTGATTGTTGTGGTTGAATGGGGGATATGCCAGGCTAGGAGGTTGCAGACTGTGATAGAGTATGATTTTGCAGCTGTTGATGAGCCGCAGTGTCTCATGGATGCCCAATCTTGAGTTACCAGATCTGTTTGAACTATGTCCCATTTACGACAGTGATAGGGCCACTCAACACGATGGACAGTATTCTCAATGTGAAGGTGGAGCTTTGTCTCCACAAGGGCTGTGTGGTGGTCACTCTTACTGACACTGTCATGGACAGATACATCAGCAGCAGCAGATTGGTGAGGATAAAGTCAAGTATGCTTGTTTCCCTCTTGTTGGATGATTAGTCATAATCATATCAAATGGTGGAGCAAGCTTGAAGTGCTGAATGGCCTACTCCTACTCTCTACGTTGCTGTGTAGATGTTTCTCTACTACTTAGTTACTTTCTCAAATATTTTAAACTCTTTTCACGTCTCTCTAATGAATCAATGTAAACTTCTCTAAGTACTAATCTGTCGTTAACTATCGTGTTCAATAACAAATCCCACAGCACATGTTGAACTAACACAATTTCCCAGTTTTTTTACTCTCTTTCAGCTTCTTTTAAATAATGGAGCTGCATTTGCAATTTTTCACTTTTGAGGGACAATTCTTGAACTAATTCTGTTTTGGAAGATTGCAGAGAAATCACTTTCAATTTCCTTGCCTACTTCGTTTAAACGACAGAGTGGAAACCATCAAGTGCTAGGGATTTGCAGTCTTCAGTGTTATTTTTGTCTTTACTACTGTT